ATGATCCATGCACGCAGAGTTACAGCAACACCTACTGGTCATCATGAATAAATGCAATAGATAATTTCTTCAGCTCTGTGATGTAGTCATAAGAAAACTTGCCACAAGTTTAATCTCTGTATTGTCAAGTCACTTTTCATTTTATTTATTTATATTTATTTTGCAGGTACCCTTGAACAGACCTAATTAACACACATCAAGTCATATTAGGTACAGAGTTTGAATAAATCGTCATAGGGGTAGTTTACGAGATTTTCATACATGGGAAGATACTGACTAATCTTATTCCCCTCCTAATCAGGAGTAAATCAGTATGTGCAACAAATCCTCATTCCTGCAGTTAAGATGATGAGCATCAGTGTCTTTTCTCAAGTGTGCCACTCTTCAGTTTCAAGACCAATTAGCGTCACATGTGCACAAGTGGTGGAGTACTATTTCCTTCAGTCCGCAAAGAGACACAGAACACAGAGCTCAGCTGTGGTGAGGTTTTCACATAAATACACTGGCATGAACATGACAGGGATCTAACAATGTATAAGACAATTCAAGCTTTTGCACTTAAAAGGGAAATATTCTGTGAATGTCCATTCTATCACAGCCTACCTCTTGTTTTTCAGAATCAGAAAAAGGTTAAACAGTGTCAATGGATGTGTCCTTGAACAAGATGTTTTGTACACAGTGTGGCTTCAAAAAAAATGTCTGAACATTGAGGACACTTTTACTCTTTTTTTACACTAACAAAAGTGAGCCAGAGGATTTAGGGTTGAAGCAAAGAATATAATCCCTATTGTTCTGTTGGAGTAATAATACTACCAGATGGTGCAGGAAATTATCATCTAATTTCCTTGGCTAAGCTAATAAATTGAAAGTCTGTGAAGATTATTTATTCACATAATGTTCTTGTATTCTTAATAGGCTTCTCATAAAATCTTCTACGGTATCCTACACCTCTGAACTCATTTTACTTTAAAATTCTGTGATTCCATCATTGCCCTTGCTCCCCATATAGAGCACCTCCTTGGGCATTTGGCAGGAAATTGAATTGGAGTAAGCATGTGCTGTAATACAAGATGAGGCCTACCCACTAGATTCTTATTATGCCTTTCTTTAAAATATGAAAAAAAAATACAAAAGAAAAACAATTTTCTATTCATAGACATATGCAGTTTGTGTGTGAGAATGAAATGGTCGCAGGCCATCCTTCATGACTTCAATATAAAAGGCAAGGGGAATGAAGAGACCTGCCCTTGAAACACGCTGTTTTATTTTGCATACGGTATCAGGCAGCTGCTGTCTTTACAGGGAGAATGTGCGGATAAAAGAAGTGAAGATGTTTTACATATCTGTATCTGTAGCTGTACAAACATTTTATTTTACACATTTGTCATTTAAATGATTGTCACCCTCTGAAGTTAGTGGGTTATATGAGGCTTTTTACATCTGTAAGAACAAGACCGAAGAAAGGAACCGAGCTCAGTAACCACTCAGTAGCCATTCAATGTACAGCAAACAACAATGCAGGCCATCCGTCATAAAGAAGTTGCAAAATAATCAAGTAGGCGGCTTAGATTTTAAGTGGTTATGTGCAGGCTATGGTTAGTACTGAGGACCCAGGGCCATATCTGCTGTGAATTGCTGGGGGCAGGGGGCAATCTGGGGAAATATTCATGTAGTGGCAAGGGGGGTTCCATGGAGACTTTAAGGCGTGGCAGAAATACATGTAATTCAGAAACAATCACATATTATATCAATATTTGCTTATAAAAGCTCCCTAATGAAGATATTTTAACTCACTTAACATTTCATTATTGAGGCACATTAGTAAAGCATTGAATAGAAAAGTGGCATAGTGGCGGTTACAGTAGTTGGTTGCACTTGGACTAAAATCTATTCACTTTTATTTCCACCACTGAATTTGGGGAAATATATTTAACTGTCACTGTGTTTTAAAGGTACTTAAATAAACTTCTCTTGCCTTGTCACTGCTGGCTGCTGCCCTGAACCCTGTCTGGCTCCTTCACTGCCGACCACAGTGTAATACACCAGCAGGCCACCAGAGGGTCGATCGATGAGACTGCATTATCTTCCCTCTGTTCCACTCGGTTTCACTTCACCTCAGAAACTTTGCTTGTAGTTTTGCAGTGGGCGGAGAAGTGCTGAGTGTCCGGTGATAAACTGGATGCCAATTAGTGGAGAAGTCTCACCGGCGAGCGGCTACACACAGCACCAGGTAACTGAACAAGCTGCCCCAGGCTTTTTATTTCTAGCACACCGCATCAGTTTCCCCACCTGCTTGTTACCTTTAATTGAGTTTATTTGATTTGCTTGGTGGTGGTGCGTGCCTTTCATACTCCATAATTAATTATAAACTTACCTCTTTTGCTCCTCCATTAGTTTGGAGCCTTTTGTTTTGCCTGTTCTGAAGACAGAAGATGGAGTGGCGCCAGCAGACCAGTGTCAGCTGTGCAGACGCATTCACCGAGGCTCAACGCTGGATTGAGGTACATGGTTCACTTTCATCTTCCTTTTTCTACTTTATTTGCTTCAGAGACGTCTTCCTCTGCAAGCAACTGTGAAGATTTGTTTGCCAGTCAGTCATTTAACCCCCTTTCTGGAGACAGGAAATGTTCTATATTAGTCAGTGTCAGTAATTTCAGCCGTGAAAGATCACTTGAAAATGTTTGTCTCAGGCTTCCACTCAATAAAAACAGTTGGTGCACATAACACTCATAAACCTAAAGTGAGGCACCTTTACATTATCTTTGAGTTCAAATGCAAAACAGGCCTTGATAAGACTAAAATGTTTGCCTCCTGACACAGAGAGAGCCCTGTGTCACAGTCTTCTGTGGTTTTGCAGAGAAAAAATGATTTGACTGCAGGAGTCACAGAGCTTCAGAGGGAAATGCACATGGAAGGAAGGCAGATAATTAAGTAATGTTTAAAAGAAAAGAGATGAAAAATGTGCTGCAGCATGCCTCTGGGGTTTGCTCTTTAGTGTCTTTCCACTGAGATGTGATGCACTTGTTGGGTTAGATTTGCTTATGGCTTGTTTTGAGTAGTCCATAAGAGCCCTTTGCACACTTATTGCGGTTAATGTGATAGGCACACGGTGGAAGGTTTTGCCATGCACGTTGTGGAGGATGTGGTTTTAGAGCAATGTATTGTCTAGGTTGTTATAGGCTGCTTATGTCCAAACATTGTAGAAGTTTTAATCCTTAAATCATAACCAATGAACACAACTTGTAGACTGTGGGCACTGAATGTTAACCAACTCTAAAATGGGACCATTAATGTCAATTGTGTCTGAGTGGATCATTATGAGAATTCTGTGCAGAGCTCTCTTGGCAGTGAGCCCGTGCCAATTTTACCCGTCTATTTTCCTGCACTGACAGATGAAAGCATGGATGAACAGTGATCTGTGTGTATGTGTGTGTTAGAGGGAAGCAAGGCATGCTGCTTTTTAAGGAAATGGTAAATAGTGTCATAAACTTGTTCCTTGTGCCAAACAACAATATTTGGTGTTACAGATTGCAGGATAATAAGCTTCCATATATTTAAGTGTCCAGAAATGTGTTGCTGTTTATCATTAGCAGCAGTACCAGCAGCAATTACATGTAAATGTTTGCTCAATGCCACTGAACTGGATGAGAAACAAGAATTGATCGGCCTCTTCTAAATTATGTAAACAGGTTATTTAGTTTCGGGAGAAACGGGAACAGCATGGTCCAATTTTTAAGCAGGTGTTCTTCTGTATTAGGACAGTGATTCTCATCTCCTTAACAAGAGGGAATTATCCCTTAAATGCATTTTACCTTAAATTTGACTTGGTGTCAACTTAGTATCATCTCCATTACCAATTAATCTGTTACTTTCTCAATTAGTCATTTAGCCTATAAATATCATAAAACAGTGACAAATGTTATGATTTATTAAAGCCCAAGGTGACAGATATCTTGTTTTATCCGATCAACAGTCCAAAATCCGAAGATATTCAGTTTACCTTCATGTGTGACGCAGAAAAGCTTCATATCCTCACATTTGAGGATCTATACCTAGAAAAGGTTTTGGGGAATTTTGCTTTAAAAATTAATAAATGCATACTTGCCTGTTTAGTTTAATTGATTAATATACTAATCACCTTAGCTCTATTTTTTTCCATTATTCTATTGGCTGCATGACCTGGATCACATAGATTTAGTAGTTATGTCTTTATTTAAGATAATTGCCTTGTTTGATGCTTTTTTTGATTGGGTAAAGCTCTCTTTAACAAATGAAGCTGTCTAGAGAAAGTTGCAAGTCAGACTTAAATGAAATTGATTGAATCTGTGGTTTCATAGGGGCAATTGTTTATTGAAATGACCAATTCAAGTTTTGGTGCTCTACATAGTTTGTCTGATTCCACTGGAAAGCTCCATGCCTGGTGCCCAGTCCTACCACAAACAAATTGTGATTGTGGATTCCTGGGGGTACTAATTAGTGAGAAGAATAGCCTTTTGGGGCCCTCTGTTAGTTATGGAGCCGAACCTTAATAGCCCCATTTTTATGTCCTCATTACAAACCCCCATTGCCTTGTGCTTCCTTCTGCCATGTAAAATCATTTAGGTTATGTTGTATTCTTTGATTTGAACGAAAGAATAGATTTAATTTGTTTTAGGAATGCTTGTCCACATATGTTTTTTTTATGGCCCATTGTTTTTCTCTGTAGATTATTTGTATGGCGAGATATTTTAGGTCTTGTTTTTGTGCAGCAGTTGGAGGATTTTTCAGCTGTTTAGGCTAAATCTTAATAGTACCCACATTACTTAATGTATGTAACTTTTGTTTTACTGTTGAGGACAACTACAACAAAGGGAAATGCTTGCATGGTGGAATTATTTTCTTCTTCAGGGCCTTGTATTCCTCATTTTTTCCACTGAACAGCTTTGTGTCTTTTACCAGGAGTGTATAACGGTACAGCTCATTCTTCAAATGTTCAATGGATGTAAACAGTATGGTTTTTTTTTTTTTTTCTCTCAGGAAGTGACTGGAAAATCATTTGGTTGCAACAACTTCCGTGCTGCCTTAGAGAACGGAGTCCTGCTTTGCGAGTGAGTACTGATACTCGATTTCACATCATTTGGATAATTAAATTTAAGCTAAATTACCATGCAAACCTATGAGTGTGTAGTTAGGCTAATTTGCTAGCTTAGCTTCAGCAGGAGCCCTGAACCAATTTGCACAATTTGCAAATTGCTGCCCTCTGGAGGTTTTGTTAGTATCTAAACATGCCTATAAGTTAAGGTAAATAAATTCAATTAAATGTAATACAGACCATCAGATGAGATTTTCTTTCTGTTTCTATAGCATAGTCATTTTCTTCCAAAACACATTTTTAAATAACTGCTGACTTTTATAACATCGGCTTGTAGCCACAAAAGAACAATGAGTCCAACAAATGAGAGGCATTTGGCAACAAATCTAGGCTAGTAGGTTAGCACAGAGGCATAGTTATGGAACTCAGCTGAAAGCACTTGGTTCTACATCTAAGACAGTTAAACTGTTTTACAAGAGAGGTGAACCTTTTTATTTTGTTGCATTTCTCATTTTAAATGTATCTCTTTATTAAAAGTTAAAGTCAGGATTATTAAGTCCTATTCTATTTAGCTAATTGTGTGGAATGGGACCCAATATGATATTGGTTCTGAAATATGTGCAGCATAAAGCTGGAATATTCATAACTGTTGTTGTTTTTTGTTTTCACTTTTAGCTTGATCAATCAGTTGAAACCTGGCATCATTAAGAGATTAAACAGGCTTTCTACTCCCATTGCTGGCCTTGTGAGTGTTTTAAAATTTCTTATTCTGTGTGTGTGTGTGTGTGTGTCACAGATAGCCTGCCTGTGTGCTGCAGGCAGTGTATTCTTTACCCTTGAGTGTCAAACAATGTAGAAGATGTCTGTAAAGATCTGAGTCATGTAGACAATTGTAATGTGTAATTGTCTATTTACTATGTATAAAACAAGTGCATAAGAAAAATAAGAAGGCACCTGTTAGCCAGGAAGTTTTGACACATTGTGTGGTTTCCTGTTAAAGGCACTGAGAGACAGTCTTGCCACAACCCGAATGATCTTGAAACTGCATTTCAGTGTGACAGCCCAATTGCTGAATATGTAATGTGTTTTTTTTTATTTTTTTTATTGGGCATAAATGTAAATGCTGATTTTTATTTTGGCTTTAGGCTGTGTTTCAATGGCTTCACACAAGTATAATTGCCAGAAATGCCCTAAGCAAGGGCAGGGAAAGATCAATTGCAACCTCCCATCAGGGGCCAATAAATAGACAGAGCCCAACGTGGATGCCAGAGTGATGGTGGTGATGGTGGGGTGTGCAGATGCAGATGCAGCAGTTACTTTGACAGCCTTAAGGACTATGCTGGTGGTTTTGCATGTTGTAACTTATTAACCACAAATGGAATACATTACAGCTAAGATATACAAAAGTATAACACAGGTGTGTCTGTATTGACTTTTGATTTTTTCACCCTTCAAGCAATCATTTAAATAAGTTAAGTACAGAATTGTTTGTGGAACTTTTGAACTCATTAATTGACATGGGTAACTAATCAAAGTAAACATTTATCTTTCTTTTTATTTTTGGTAAACTTATATTTGCATGGCAAGTAGAAAACATACATAACAGGATAAAAATTGATCAGTATAGATATTATTATAACACTAAAAACAGCACATGCATTCTGTGTTCAGTTCAGACTCTCATCCAGCAGCAGCAGCAGTTTGTCTATTTGCCACTAGAGAATGCCAAAGCATTATCTGACTAACCTTCCCTAAAGTGAGAGAACCTAAAATTGCTCCCTAATCTTAAAAAAAAAAGACAAACAATAAAATAATTAAGCTAAATGACCCTGTTATCAACTTAAAGTATTCATTTGCTTAGCTAAGATTTTGACTACTGCTACTGAGCTAGTTGTTAACTGAGCTATAAAGCGCCGACTGGTGTTTTTAAAGTCAGTTAAACGTCTTTAACAGAGCATAATATTAGAGGCCACTCCTAGCAGAGTTCAATGTTTCCAGACAACGGCATTGTTTAATCAACCTCCCACAATCAATGCTTATTGGCTATTGCTGATAGAATTCGCTGCTAACATATGTAATTTCAACGAAGGTCACCCCCTAAAGATGAGGAGAATAATTACCTTTTTTGTGGTAATAAATGCAGTAAAAACGAGCATCATGTTGTAAAGTTATTTTAACAAATGTTCGTTTATTCATAGTTAATCTAATGTTTAATGAAAATCTTAATGAAAATAACACTGCGCAGTAGATCATCATAAAATTCATTGCATTGTAAGTTTACATTACACATTACATTTAAAGGCCCTTTGTTTAGGACGATCTATTGGCCCAAATTGAATATAATGCATAACTATGTTTTCGTTCAACTATAATCACCTGAAAACGATATAAGAATCGTTGTGTTTTTGTTCCCAAGGAGCTATCATTATGAACCTCCATGTTTCTACAATAGCCCAGAAGGGACAAACAAAACACTGGCTCTAGATAGGGATGTTTACGCTTCTCGCACATTTCGTACACTTTCTCTTTCATGTGAGGGAGTTGTGATCTGCAACTACATCACTAGATGCCACTAAATCCTACACACTGGAGCTTTAAATTGAATTTCAGCTCTGACTTAACCCTCCATTAACCAATATCTGATCCCAAACAACATCATCATCAACAGCCTCTTCTGACACTGTGCCAGTTCTCTGCATTCTCTTCTATTTTGAAGTGGCTCATTTAGCTGTCTCTGTAATTTGAATCTCCAGGATAATGTGAGTGTATTCCTGAAAGCCTGTGGGAAACTGGGACTGAACGTGTCACAGCTGTTTCATCCAGGAGACCTGCAGGACCTGTCCACTCGTGCAACACTCAGGTACAGTTGTCTTTAAGTGTCATGTCAGGTTAGGTGTATGTTTACAACTGTCCAACAGCTAAAGGTGCTCACGCCGGCACAGAGAAACACACCTTTTACGTATGAAATTCAACTTGTGAAAAAGGTTCATAGTTTGTCCATGTATCTCAAAGCTATTTTGCATTAATAAAGGTATGAGCTTTGCCTGACAATCTGCTGCTTTAGACAAATTGATAGCCTGTTTCCTCTATAAATTCTGATAAGTAGCTGATTAATATAGCATTGCAAATTAAATGGTTTGAGATGTCACTGTAGTCTCTGTTTGCAGTACAATCCATTGCATTTTAGTGTTTAGTACAGTGCATGCAGTCATACTAAAGATTACAGTATGAGGGACATCACTCTCATTTTTGTCTTTCCTTATTTTAGGCGAGATGAAGGCAACAGAAGACTCAAAAATGTAAGTTTAAGCAGGATAACTGTTCATTTATCCACTAAATAGTTTTTTTTTTTACATCATTCATATATTTTCCTGATTCCCTCCCTTGGCCAATGAGTTTTAAAAACATGTCTGTCCTTGGCCACTTCACCTAGTAAAGGACCCCTAAAACTGAATTTATCTACATGGGAGATAGTCAGTAGTAAACAATTACCACCAGCATCAAGAGTCAGTGATGATGATCAAGGGCGTTGTTTTGCTTATTTAAGTTTGGGCCTAATAACAATATTCTGGCATTAAAGGACTAGTGTGTAGCATTTAGTGGCATCTAGTGGAGAAGTTGCACATTGCAGCTAACTAAAGACAGCTTGTAGCTGTTTAACTGCTCATTCTAAGGTAATGAAAGCACAAGGATTCCTATTTTCAAGTGATTGTGCACTAATGAAAACATACAGATGAATATTATATTCCATTTCTGCCAATAGATGTTTGTAGGTGTTACAGACTGGACCTTTAAACCGCATAGTCTGTGCCAAAATATAGTCTTGTATTACTATGCCTCAAACTATCTGTAAAATCGTCCCTCCCAACTGCACTAATGGAACATGTGAGTGCTGTATCTGTACACGCTTGCATGCACTGCTGGTATTTTACATGTTTAGAAGCTTAGGAGGATGTTTGGTTATCTGGGAAGCCTCATTTGAATCACACAATAGCTGACAACTTGGACTCAGTAATGAGGCTGTTTGTCAGAGCACTCTTTCTGTGAAATGGGTGTAGCATTTCTCTTTGAATTAACCAATTAGGGTCAATTTGCTTTCAGCATGGTGTACAACCAAATGCACAAATATCTCACTGTTTTTACATGGAGTAGTGATGTAATGTGGGTTAATGTTAACATGTGCTATTGGACCCCAAACAAAAGATAACATTCACATTAAGTAAGAATTTGTTTCTTTATTTGAGGGGGCATTTATATGTATATTGTTCATTATAGTTGGGTCTGGTTACAACATCTTCTTCCTTTTTTTTTATTTATTCCTAAAATATTAAGCATGAGCCAACACTGATGGGAAATTAGGGCCATCGTTGACAGGACCTGATAATAAATAATGTCCTATAAATAAAATCATATGTGGCAAATATTGCCACTAAATAGGATTAACCTGTGGTGGCCTATTGTATGCAGTGTAATGATTTCCTTGGCATGAGGTAGGTGGCAGGCTATTAGAGAATAATGAGCACATCCTGTCCCTGTGCTTAAGACTGACATAAGACCTTAACGCTTGCTTACTCTTAGGTTATGCAAATGAGGGAAAACTAGCGCTAATGGCTCAAACGGACCTAAATATCAAACATATATGCTTATTTTTGAAAAACTGCACATTTTAGAAGGCATCTGTATACCATTTGTGCTGAAAAATTAAAAAGTAAAGTAACTTATATTATATTTTCTGCTCTACAATGACACTGATTGGTAAAACTAGAAGATAATTTCTGTATTCGGTGCAAGCTTTCTATTGACTGGTAAGGTACCCGCTACAGACACTGAACGAGCATAATGGGTAATCCATACAGACACATTTAGTACAACTCAAAATTCTCATCCTTTTCATCTAACTAGCATTGTACTATAAAACATTTAGTCAATTCAATCATCTCTGAAGGCCCTTCATGGATTTTGATCTGCTGACCGCTCTATGATGACTTTAAGATAGAGATGGAGAAATTCTGACACATAGTCTTGTGGATATCCCTTTGCAGCACAGGCGGCTGCTCTGCCAGGGAGAAAGGCAGTCCGTCAAAAAAAAATATCCCTCGCCTCAAGGCAAATGAGAAATAAATCGTGTCCAAAACACTTTGCTTGCTGAAATAATAAAACATTAAATGCCAGGAAGAGACATATTTCACAGGCCTTTACTCACTGTCTTTAATAATGGTTGTCAGGAGTGTGTCTGACTGACTGTCAACAGTATTCAGTACCAGTGTTTTCAGCTGGCTCGTGGAGGCCACGTGCCTCACATCACCAGTATTTCTTGTGGCTGATGCTTTGGGGATAGCATGTCATATTCTGCGTTTATAGAAAGTAAAGTAATTTCCCTAGTTTTTTTTTGGCAGGCTAATTTGATTATGTGGTTGTTTTTTTGCCATGCTAGTTGCATTGCCATCAATATTGCTATGACAATTTCTTTAGTCAAGACTGAAATATCTCAAAAACAATTGGATGGATTGCCATGACATTTTATACAGATGTTCATTGTCCCCAGAGGATGAACCCTAAAAGCTTTCATTTTCTTTCTTTTGCACCAGCAGTTAATCAATCCCCATGTGTTTAGTCTTCTACTGACTTTTCCTCCAGCACTGCACACTAGCACTACACATTTGTGGTATTGAGTGATTTAAGATTTGATATTTGATTTTGAGATTGATTTAATAATGAAAATTGGTACACGCATTTATGTCACCCTCAGGATCAATTATAATATCATGACTTTTCATCTAGCACCATCATCAGGTCAAAATTGTAATTTGTCCAGCGCTAAATAGCAAATATTATGCTGGCATACTAAACTAGGATGATTAATATTATACCTGTATAACATAATCATGCCTAAGTACACCCTTACAGAGCTGTTTGTGTTGCTATTGACACCTTAATGCACAAATCTACTGTATACATATTGTCCCTTGAACAGCATCTGTGTTTTCTTATTTATCTTCTGGGAACATGCTTCTAGAAGTTTTCCGAATTCTTAGTAACTGCTGAGCATTATTTCTTTGTACTATGTCCTCTTCTGTGATTCAACTGAGAACATGACATGCACCTCTACCAAACCTGCTCTGAGAGGGGATGGGCTGCAGAATTACAGTGTAGCAGTCTACAGCATTTTACTTAGTCTTTTTGAAAGTCAAAGTTTTTACTAAATCAGTAAACACTGTTTTTTTTGTCTGCCTTGGCCACCCTGGGGCCAATCCTGCTTCCTAGTCTGCAAAACTGTTCAATCTACAAGTAAGATATTAAACATCAGAAGTCAATCTCTGGGGTTTGAGCTTTTGAATTGGAGAAGATGAGTTAGATCTAGGTGGGCTTTTTATGTTGTGACTTGGCCACCCCTAGATGGGGGGGGGGAAACAGATGAGCTGCTAAATGTGCATGCGTGTGTGTGGTCAGATTTGTGTACCCCATACATGTCTTTGTTCACTCTCTCAGGTTCTGATCACAATCTACTGGTTGGGTCGCAAGGCTCACCTAGACCCCTTCTACAGTGGTCCTCAGCTTAACTTCAAGGCTTTTGAAGGGTTGTTAGGGTTGGCTTTGTCAAAGGTAATCAGCTTTTCCAGGCTTTTAACACAGTTCTAGTCCTTTTTATGTACTTATTGTTATCTACATTAACCCTGCCTTCTAAATCCAGGCTTTGGATGAGGGCAGTAATGTGTTTGTGAAAGACAGCGGGTACAGAGAGTCCTTGTACCCAGGGAGGGAGGAATGTCTGCATGTAATACCGAGCTACAAGATGGAGCACTCTGTGGACAGCATCGACTCACTGGATTCTAGAGCCCTCCACCCAAACAGTGAAGGTACGTTTACCTTTTTTTTTCTCCATACAACCTCCTTCCAGTCAATTCTTTGTGCCACTCCACCTGACGTGTGAATCCCTTTTAGTTTGGGTGTAAAATATAATGACTTTAAAAGTTATGTACTACAATTTTCTGAAATCACTTGGTAAGAAAACACAGGCCAATACTGACACCTTTTTTGTCTTCTCTTTGAACTCTGTTTTGATGCCAGAAGAGTCGCAGGTTTCTGTTTCTTGTTTCTGTTCTTAGAGCTCTGCTCTCTGTGCAGGCTTACCCTGCTGATACTGGTTCCATACAAACTGCTGTTGCAACTTTTGCTAGAGTGGAAGAGATCACTTCCTCTCAACAGATGGATTAGATAGATGATCTGCAAAAGAACATGCCCAAACGGATGTATTTATCAGTTAACAATTCTGTATGCAACCATGTTATTGCACTTGATGAACCTATTTTTGTTTTGGGATCAACAACATTTTCCAAACTGATCTTCTGACTCAGTCTGTCAATTGTCTGCACTCTGCTGTGCTTGTTCTCAGTGCACGTCAGTGATAGATTGTGGCAAGTTCCACACTGTGCTGATAAAAGTGTGTGTGTGATGGGAGAGAATAAAATACTTGGCACAGTACTTGGGAGAGGCTTGGCTGTGTGAAGACTCAGTCATCCACTAAAGGTTCTTCTGTTACGATCTGATTTTGAGACTTTCTCTTTCATTTACCTGTAATGCATTCTTGGTCCACTCACTTTTCATTTTAGTTGATTGCAGCGTATGTTCCCCCTCATTGTTCTTAAAACTTTGATCTTTTCTGTTGCTCATTTTCCATGTTTGTGTGGTTGCAAGGTTGTGGAAGTGACGCAGAAGCTGAGCAGGTGTTCAAGATGGAGACCACCCAGCCCTCAACTCAAAACAAGGGTTATATCCCACCGTCACTCCTACAGAGAAAACCTGGCCTGGAGCAGAGTGGAAGCGGCTGTACTAGTCCACTCGCCAGGTACTGAAAATGCGCTACTAATTTACCTATCATTGCTGCTGTTAATTTTAATTTGCTTTAATGTTCAATTTCTCAGTCAGTTAAACATTTTCCTTTTTTTATTTGTATTTGAATAGTATATGCACATGAACAACTTCATTTAAGAAGAAAGAGAATTTTATTCCTGACCCCAGTCAGTGTAAAACTAACAGTAACATACAGTATTAGTTATCCTAATACTTTACTGTATGTGGCAAATGCTGTGATGAGTAGAACTGTGCTCAATAATATCCATCATTAGTATAATTACATAGATTGTTCTTGGATGAAACTCATTTTGTAGCAAATTTCCCAATTTTCAAATCAGTTAAGGGCTGATATGCTTTCAGGCAGTTTGGAGTTTCTTATATTAAATTGCAGTTGAGACTCTTTATCTACAGTATACAATATTTGATGTGGCAGGCCAAGGTGTTGGCAGAAAGCTCTATTTTCATCCTACTAGTCAATTCAGTATTGAGCTTGTGTGTGAACTGTGGATGTTGGTGATCTGCTCGGCTCTGTCATTATTACTTTATCACAATACCTACTGCTGCAGTGCTTGGAAATGGAAAAACACTGTAACCCTAACCCTTATCCTTAAAAAAACTGATGATTAAATGCATGAAGGCATATTCACAGTCACACCCCTGCCTTTTAACATTTTGGAGCAGCTTTGTGTTGTCAGATAATTTCTGAGATACTTGGTGTAACTATTTCATCCAAAGCGATGTCTGTGTGATCATCACCATCAGCTGCGAATAAATGCAGACATGGGTGTACCACTCTTTGCTGCAGCATTGAAGATGCCCCCCTCTCTCCTCAACCCCACCTTGCTGTGTCTCCTTCTGAGTGTGCCTTCGATGAAGAGTTTTTTCTGCGAGCTCTGTGTGAGGAAGACTCGGAAGATGAATATACTGAGGCAGACCCTGTCCTAGATGACTTGTATTTCCGGCGAGTGCAGCAGAGTCTTCATCAAACATCTACGAACCCTACCTATGACCGCTTCTTACCCCGATATTGGACACCTGAAGAGGAGATTCGTGTGCGCACAATCTACCTTGGCTCCCAAAGAAGACCCTGGTATCGTAAAATTCAAGGCTTAAGGTCTGTATTTTTACTGTTCTGTGATGCAAGGCAGTGCTGATAGTGCAAGTGTGAAAGCTTTTAAGATTTTCTCAAAACTAATACAAGGCAAAGCTGAAGCTGCAGTTTTCTACTGCTGCTGTATGCTTAATGTGCTAAGTTGTTAATGCATTGCTTGAACAGCAAGTAATTTTGGTAACTTTAAAGAAGCAAAGACATTACATGGCTGACAGGCTGAACTAAAATATAACTTTTGTGTGTGTGGTGCCAAACAAAACCTTGCTATTAGACATCATGGCACTGTTGATTAGGGTTTTTAAGCTTTAGCGTTTGGTAGAAGTTTATAAATCCAGCTTAAGTACGCCAGCAAACTAAAGCTAGTTTGCTAGGCACAGAGAAACAGCAAGGGCTAGTTTGCAAAAAAAATGGCATGTCTGCTAAACCGTCACGCAAAGTTTTATCCTATGTATTCTCCTTTGTTATTTAAGTCTACTGTAAAATAATCTTGTACTCCTTTCATGCATCTCCTGTTCCCTTTTCTTGACTGTAGCCATAGAGCTTTGGGTTCTTCTGTGGAAGAGTTTGACTTGGACTTCATTTCCTGGCTTGTGACATCAGCTACTGTACAGAACATATCTTCCACACCTGGAGAGCCTGAAAAGCATCTCCAAGAAACTCTCTCCAAGCCTGCACATTCACTCCTGTCCTGAAGATTCATACCCAACAAACTAACCATACAAGCTTTTAAAACCTGTTGACACAAGCTTTAACAGTGTTTTTTTTTTTTTTTTTTATCTCATCATGTACCAAGTGCACCTGTTACTTTTGCATTTGCAAATCTCTAATCCATCGGCAAACAACATAATTTTCTAAAGATGCAAATTTAGCTGTTTATTAAATAGGTGTTTTATGAAGTTGACAGGAAAATTAAATGTGCTTTGAATTTGTACTGTTCATGCTTGTTGAATTATCTGGCATTACTTTTTTTTTTTTTTTTTAATGCTGATGATGTGAGGACTTTTTAACAGCACCATGCTGAGTGACTCATTAGTTCATAATAGATGACTCGGGCGTTGTGTCATACTTCGGTAGCCATAACAGAATCATGTTATTTATAACACCTTTTGTGCCAGCACTAATGTTTTTCAGTTTACTTTCTGTGTGAATATGGCTTTAGTGGGTCTATAAACAGTCTAAAATATTGTGCAACATGTGAATTTATGTATTAAACACTTGTTCTAAGATCCTCCGTGTGTGTGTGTGTGTGTGTGTGTGGCAGGTTTTTTTTTTTTTAGAGTTGTGGTACTGAAGCCATATGTGTTGTATCTGTAAATAACATTGCTTTATATTTAGATGCATAGTGGCGTTCACCGGTCTTCGTGTCTGTTTCTTTGGTTCTGTAGAGCATATCAAATCCAAGTCAAAGCTGAGAGACCAGTCCAGGTCAATCCTGGCTGGATTTGGTAAGTCATGAAGGTTTGGGCATGAAACTAAAGCAAAGATGTCTGAGGCTGCCCTGCCCAAAGCTGCTTTGTTTCTGCTTCTTCTGAGTGTGCTTTTATTTTTATTCAGCTTACCTACAAAGGAAATAATGCTGCAATCATAATTTGCCTTTTCGTAAAGATGGAGTGCTTAGTAAACCACCCACTATTAATTTTCTGGGCAGAGACTTGACAGTAGAATTAATGAAAAACTACAGGATTGTTTGTAATCACAGTCTTGGTTCCTCTCATCAAATTATGTCAGTTTTGATATACCACCTGCTAAATGCTGCTGTAAGTTATTTGAATGTCACGTCTGACACCTTCTGTTGCCCACGGCAGTGCTATTACTTGTTACAAGTCATGGTTTTTGTGTTATCCAGACAGCAACATCTGTTGCCATTTGTACTGCTGCGTTACTTAGCTTGCATGCTACTCTCCTGCTCGCACTTGGCTAAGGATTCTGTTGTTTGAAAGCAGAATGTGCCGTCTAGCAGCTGTTAATACTGTGGCTTACTGGCTTGTCATGTACTCTGTGTGTATGTGTGTGGCATCGAGCACATACAGAAATTAGTTGTCAGTGTAAGATGGCATGTTTGCGTGCACTGCTTTTCAGTACTACTGTTCATCATGCTTTTTCTGCTACATGGTGTGACACTTTCATGCAACCACAGTGTTTTAAATGCCAGATGTGTTTGCTCTGTATGTCTGTTACTTATTTCCACATCCTGTCTTTGTCTGTATGAACTAGGAGCAAATCACTGAGTGACATCCCGATGGTATACCCTGTGCGTAAAGTTCCTGATGGGAACCCTGTTTATGATATGGGCCAGGACACTGGCATTGCAAGAGAGTGGAATCAAGAGAACAAACGCAAGTGTAGCGTTGCTGCCAAGGACACTGAAGCTCAGTGGCAGGATGTAAGTATAGAAAAGTCTTACAACAAAAATGTTAAAAGAATCCTACTATAAGGTCCATTTAGTACTTGTTAAAGAGCTTTAACTGTTACACTGTTATTAACCTGTTAACTTGAACTTTCAGATGTTCAAATTTCTTTTTTTTTTTCTGAGCAGGGTGTTCATTCTGTACCTTAACAGCAGTCCTTTAGATAGTCCTGAAAGCTCTTAAAAATAATTTTACACCTGCAACAGTGTTATTGGGCTATGCACTTGTCTCAGGATTTGACAAAGTGGAAGAATCGTCGCAGGAGCACCAAGTCTGACCTCTGCAGGAAGTCTCAAGACAGAGAGCATGTCATTAACCAGATGATCAATGGGTCTAACTTTGAGAAAAAAGAAGCAGGCGGACTGCTAAAGAGGTACACTCCTGCTCCAAATGTTATGGATATAATGAATAAAAGCTTACACTTCCAAACCCTGTTGCTACCAAGAATTTTAAAGTCTATATGAAAAGCTGCTGACCTAGTGTGATAACTGTTTAGTATGCCACAGTGAACTCATGTAATATGATACCCACCCCCCTCCCCCATCTTTTCTGCTTCCTTTATTACATTGGCTCCTCTTCCCTTACGTGCCAATTCCCCCAGAGACCAACCGTCACCACGCAGGCACAACTCTGCCCCCCGTCCTTACTCCACCTCCTCTCCATCAAAATCAACAAGCTCTGATCTCCGGCCACGTACTCGAGCTCTGCTGGCCCGCACCTACGCTATTGAGGCACCTTTCAGCTCTACAGCTCCACTTTGCCCCCATAAGTCAGCCCACACTCAGGTAAATTGTGGTACCGTTTGTTCTGTTTTACCTTGATTACCTTAATGGACATGGTTTTCTTTAGTATATACTTGATGAAAATGCCTGCATGAATGATAACAGAAAAAGTTCCCCTGATTAAGGTGCAGTTTTGCAAAGCAAGGTGTATAATGGATTTACTCTGTTACATGGCAGATCTTTAGGATTTCTTTCTTCTCAGGGATCAGTTGGAGCCATGCCTGCCTCAGATGGGAACATCTTGGGAGAAGAGACCCACTTTGCTTCCCTGGCTTCAGATGGAACAGGAGTCACTACACCTTCTCTGGACTGCCCCTTCAGCTCCCAGACCCAAGTCAAAGCTGAGGGCAGCCCAGCTCCTTTTGAGCCAACATCTGAACTGGAACATGTTTTTACAAACCAAACCTCAACTTTGATAACCACTATACAGCCAAACAAGACCACAAAGTCAACCAGCACCAGGGATCGTACTGCATCTATGTCAAGTCACAAGGAATTTCCATTTTGCGCTGATCCAAAAGTTTCAACCTTTTGTCCTGATTCAGTTAATCTGCCAGGAGTTGACCACCAGAACCACAAGTCCCAGGAAGAGAGCCAGAAGACATCTTGGGAACCAGCTGCGGAGCAAGGCAGAGGGCAGCAGGCTGCAGGCGTCTACAAGTACTTGTCCAGAACTGGGTCGTGGTCCGGCTCAGCCAGCCTTCCTCGTGGTTACCGGAGGTCCGAGGGCTCATCCCGTCTCTCTTCTGCAATCACAGCCAGACCCTTTGGCACCAAGCAGTCCAGGGTGTCCTCTCTGCCGAGACTGTTCAATGTGAGTTCAGTAGTTATCACAGCTATAGCACTGTTGCACTTTGAATGTATTGGAGTTTAGCTGCATGGTAGCGTAGAGCCTGGCACCTGCTAATTTTATTTTACACAGTCATGGTTACAATTTGTGAGTTTAGTGGGTGTGTGTGTGTGGGTGTGTGGGTGGTACTATGTGCTCGTTACCTTTTTGTTTTCGTGGATCGTCCTCCTCATAAATAATGATGCTGCACCTTTATGAACAGTGTCAACTCACTACAAGATTACGCAATTTTTTTTTCTGTGTGGTGTCGACATCCAACTATCAGTACAGTCACATTTGAATGCTGCAGAATAAATGGAGCAATCGAATGTACTATCCTCCTGGGCACATTTTTGTTCATCTCCAGGTAGACGACAACCAAGGTCTGCTATTGAAAAGTGAGAAAGAGGAATCTCTTTCTACACCCACCGAATCTTCGCTCAAAAGACAGACTGCGACTGCACATCTAAAGGGTCAGTACCAGGCTTCAGTCAGACAGAAGAAAGCTAATCAGGCAGAACCAAAGCAGAATGGTACAGAACAGCGAGAAGAGGTGAAAGGTGCCACTCTTTCCACCCAGACCAACGGCTATCACCATCAGTCCCATACCCAAGCCCAGCTACGACGGCAACCTTATTCAAACCTGCAGACGCACCACAACAAAAGCTCAAGTCTCCCACCTAATTCCAGCATTGACCACCCAAAGGTATGTTGTATTATTATGTACTTCATTGATGTATCTTTGAAAGTTGTAATATTTAAATCTAGGATTAAATTATATTTGATCAAACTATAATTGGGGATCACCTATTGGTCAGTAACGGTGCCCGTTGGTCAGTAGAAAAATGAAATGGGCCAAAGTTGGCTTAGAAGAACACCCAAGAACCAAACGGATAGGTTAGGTATTTGGTAAAGGTAAGTATTTTTAAGCTATTTTACTTGTGATCAGGCACTGGTGACTAATCAAAATCAAACAGGCAAATTAATAAATGCCACTCTTGGATTTCACTGTCGGAGCAGTGTGCAGAGGAGAAAAATGCCTATTTGGTATTGCAACATAATTGATTGCTTTTAATAAAATAGCTTATTATTTGTGTAGACTAAAACATTCATATTGAGGATTAGCAAGCCAACCTTGAAAAATAAAGTGGTTAATAGATACAGTGCAAAAGTGTATATTCTTTCAGGGTCTTACCTCACCCAAATGAGTGTTTTTATTGACCTTTTTCACTGCAGACATTTTGCATCGTCATAGCAAGAAAACACAGGCGTAATTGATAACATTAAAAACAATTGTATTCCATTTAGGCAAGCTAGTTTTAGGGTCCTGGTGTTTTGTGCATGCAAGCTCACAGTCATGTTTCACCTGTGCTTTTCCTTCCATGACAAGTTAGGGTGAGACAACTCCTAATTGGTGCATTGACTTCGGTGACTTTGCATAGCCCGGCCAACTTCAACCTAAGCCCTACGTAATTAATTTAATCAGCAGAGTAAGTGGGAACACCTGTGTGGGTGTGCAGGGCCTTTAAACTGCATTAGGGCCCTAAACTTCCTATTACATGCCTAATATAGGCTGAGGCTACCAGCGTATCTCTTTTGAAGGCTGATAAATGTTCATTTTTGGTTGTTGAGCTATCTATGGGAGGTGTTCTTGCCCAATATTCTGTAAATATAATGCTGTACCACCTCTAATTAAAGCCACAAACCTGAATGTGGTATTGAATACCAAAACCTGAACATTATAAACTTCACATGACAGTTGTTACAGGGCTGCTGTGATGATTGCACTGCATTGTACATAATAAAGTGGTCCCTTGGTATCCCTTACTATATCTGTGTAGCAGGCCACTGTAGTATTTAGTTTCCACCAGGAAGCATAGGACATTGGATCACAGGGTGTCACTCTTGTGTGTGTGTGTGTGTTTCAGGTGGATCACAGTGACATGAGAGTAAGCCTTACACTTAAACCCAACAGTAGACCAGACTTTGGTTTCCAGATTCATTGGGACTCCACAGGGGCAAGAGTCAAATTTATTAAACCTGGTAAGTGCTATATTCAACTCTGGGTTGCTGACATTTCAGCTCACTTAAATCACATTTATTGGAAGCATTGGTTACATTAAGAAAAAGTTACCTTTAATACTTAAACCTAGTTTTATGTCTGATTATCTTTTGTTTCTCTGTTACAAAGTAAAACAATGTTGCCTAAAATACAACAACTGAGTGGTTAGAAGTATTTGTTGAAGTTTCAGTTGGTGAGGGATAAAAGAGAGAGGGTATTTAATAGAGAGGAAATGTTTATTTATTTTCAACATATTTCATTTAAGTATATTGGCTATGAAGAAACTGGGGTTGAACTTGTTTATTTGATGTGTACTCCTCCATGAGTAGCTGTGTTTTTGATTTGTCTTGTTTTGCTTTGTCATTAGTAGTGTATATTCAATGTATTGAGGAATATAAATAAAAACAATCTTACAAATAAACTCACATGGTCAGGTTGACATAGCAATGGGAATTAAGTCTTTGCTTGGAAAATACTGTGTATATTAGGCAATTTGTTCTAACATCCTGCACATTGAAACAGCAGTAATTCAAGACATTGACAGATGTCAGTACAGACAGAGCATAGACTAATTGTCACTGCCGAAGCACAAACAAATGATGTTACTGAGGAAATGTGTTTAGAACTAAGACAAGCAGATTCTCATGTGGCTGGAAATGGGCAAATAAGTCACTTTTATGCTAAAAAAATTTGATAAATGTCTTTAATAGATGTTGGTAACCCAAACAGATTATTATAATAGATTAGATGAACAGTAGATTTACTGTACATGCATAAAAAACAGCCTACAAAATGTAGCCAGAGATTTAAAACTCAACCATGAATATTTAATTGGATGTGAGAGCAGGTGTCACTTACTCACCGCTATGTAGTTTTGGCTTACTGGCCTACTTTTAAACTTGGAGCAGAAACCTTGTCCTCAATACTGCAGCTTGTTTTTCAGTTTGTGCTAAACAAATTATTTCGGATGCTTTTTTATGTTTTCCTGTCCTCGTTCTCATCTTTTTTTCATTTTCCTGACACCTATCCCCTCCCTCGCTCCCTCGCTCCCTCCCTCCCTCGCTCCCTCCCTCCCTCCTCAGGCAGTCCAGCAGCGCTTTGCCAGCTGTGTGTGGACGATGAGATTGTGGCTGTTAATGGAGTTGCACTGGCACGCATGAACTACACCCAGTGGAAGGATAAAATGACATCTTCCCTGCAAACCGGCAGTCTGACCATGGACGTTCGGCGCTATGGCAACAAGGGTAAGATAATGACCTTAAAAAAGACAGTCATGTCTTTTTCAACCTCCTGTAATGATTTTTGATAATTTAACCTATAACTTCTAACCAGTGGGTCACAAAGATTGGTTTATAGTGTGGTCTTAGTTTTGATGGCTGGTTGTTTTCATTAGATTGGAGCAGCAGTGAGGGGAGTCATCACAACCAGCCAGGCCAGAGCAGGACCCTCAATCTGACTGCTGCAGCGCCCATTCTGACAGGTTGCCCTGATCACCATGCCAACAGTGGCGCCTCTACAGAAATCACAGTCAGAAAAGTGTCCAAATGCAATGGGCAGCCGGACAATGTGAGCAATGTTTTAGACAGTTATCGCTTGAATTAAAAAAATTGATCTGCAAAGTTCTTCTAATAGCACAGCTTAATTAGTGGTGCTCATCAGGTGAATCTTGGTGTTCTTTCACCTGCCCAGGTTTTACAAGGTAAAGTCATGCTTGGAGAGCTTGCTGACAACCACAGGACAGCCAAAAGTAAAGGTAATAATGGGCATAAAGTCTGCAAAAGCAATAACATTACAACTCAATACATGACAAACATCTCCCGTGATAATAACTCCTCAGATATAGTATGTGATGTCTCACCTTATCCATTCGTTCTCTTTATGTAGATTATAATATTATTATTTGGAATAATCAGAAAAGGAGGGCAGAATTTTTCCGACAGACAGGTAAAATTCCAGTTTGAGGCTAGACCTCTTGTGTAGCAGCTTTGGTGGCTGGTGCTTGGCTTGGTTAATTGTTGGGCAGAAAAAAACCCTGCACATTTCCAGTGGGCTTTTATAAAGGATTTTTAGGAAGGGACTGCTACAGTAATTAAAAAGAATCAGATAATGCACAGTGATTAGATGAGAACTTTAATTTTAGTATTACCATAATAACATTAATGTAGTACTTTAACGGGCTTTATTTTAATCATAGCACAATCTAAACACATACTAACTATAACAACTATTAAAGATTTAGCTTTTAAATTCATCAGTCAAAAAGCTATTTATGTGTTTTTTTTGCAAACCGACACAAAACAGTGCTTGTCTCGGCACAACTTTACCCAGCAACCACAGAGCTGACAGCACTGATCACATCTATGATATACTGTATACTAGTGTGTGTGCTGTGCAACCAGTGCTTCTTTTACTGACATAGTATCTATTTGTTGTGTTAATGGGTTGTCATTTTTAATGGGTCACTTTCTCATTCTTTTGCACAATGACTGATTTGTAATGCAATTCTTTGTGGTATGTTAATGAATCTGATGTGTGTCCCACTACAATGGCTTCTCTCTTCAGGCTCTGCAGGATTCAGCTCATGGGTTTACTTGTGTGGTAAATGTTTGCACTGTGTGTAGTGTTTTTCTTAACTGTACTCTGAGCAAGATGCAATCAGTTGCGGAACATCATCAACAGATGAAGAAAGCAGAGTTGTACAACATGTGAATTCACATTTAAAAAAACAAAAACAAAACAGTGGCATGCTTAACTCTGTGCTCAGCTCTCTCTTTAAGTTTTTGCTTGCTTATCTCTAGGCTGGGGATGCATTAGCAGATTATTGTGCTGATTTACATGCAGACATGCTGCAGATTTAATCTTAACTACTCTCATCTACACAGACATGGGTATCTATCAAAGGTGAGGTGGTAACCTTTGAAAGTTATGACCAGATATTTGAGCCAGTGCTGCAGGCAAAGCTCTACAAAGAGCAAAATTATACTGATATCCGGTCCAGCATTGTATTTTTGTCTTGATCTCCAGCTCTGGATCAAAAGATTGCTAGGGGTCAGTAGGATAAACAAAGTAAAGTGTATTTATGTATTTTTGTCTGATTCTCGGTTTAGAGTCTTCTAATGTGTCCCCAGCCTTTTTGCTGTATATGTGTGAACTACACTATGATATTACACACATCCTAATTATCTTTGGGAGCTGTTGTATGCTGTTTTCTTCTCTGACTTGTTTTTTGTCTTACACAGGAGGGTCAGAATCTGCAATATCTGATGTAAGTTACCACTTGATCAAAGGGTGTTTGTATGCATGTTCAAACATTAAGTGTGTGTGTGTGTGTGTTAAGAGTTTGTGTGCTGCACTGTGATCATGTTTGATTCTGTTTGTGCCTCACCAGCTCCAGGTGCCATCCCTCAGCCCCTCCTCATCCAGCTGGTCCTGGGACCGTGAGGAGGATCGAAGGCGTCAGGAGAAGTGGCAGGAAGAACAGGAGCGCCTCCTACAGGTAAAGATTATTTTCTTCAACATAGAACTACACACCACCAAGGATGTTAACACCTTAACCTTAATAATCATCATCTAAACTGTAATGCATCATACGTGTGTGTGTGTGTGTGTCTTCTGTTTTTCAGGAGCAATACCAGCGGGATCATGAGAGGCTGGAAGCAGAGTGGCGGAGGGCACAGCAAGATGCAATGGGGGAGTTGTGCAGGAAGTCAGGGGTAATGTTGTGTGGTCCTTGGAGCCTTTTTCAAGCATTTTAGTTATAATTAAATAATCATGAAAAATTGTTAGATTTTCCTCTACTTAGTCAACATATAATAAAGCTCTTCAAAGTTTATCCCAAGTATGTGCATTAACAGTACTTTTTATTTGATTCCACGTTTCCTACATTGTGATGATAGTCGACCGCTTTAAGAATGAGACAATACAATGAGAGTGCTGACAAGTAAATTCTATGCTTTTAGATATTCTGTATAGAATGTAATTTCTTGTCATGCATTTGAAGGAGAACACCTTTGAGATGACCACTGGTGGTGAGAGCCGTGCCAGCGCCCAGCTCCATGTGAAGGGATTGACCAACAAAACCAGAGAAGCAGAATGGATCCCAGACAGAGATGAGCTGAAAGAAGCAGGATCAAGACCTCAAAGTAATGCACAGAGAGTGCAGAATGACAATATTACTGAACGAGCCTGGTAAATAAACTTTTTTTCCCCTTTTTACAGTGTGCCATATGTATGTGCGCTCATGGTGCTTTCTTTTAAAAGCGAGGTTCAAGAAATTCTATTTAGCGATTTTTGGCTTGTCATGATTTTATTTTTTCTACACTGCTGTTGTTGCTGAATCTGTTCTGCTTCCTGTTGCTTTTGCTGGGCTTCCATGCTTTTCGTGCTGTACCTCAGGGCTGAGGACTCCTGTGGCTTTGCTCAGCTGTCTCCTGCTCACAGGTCAGAACAAGACTAGCTCAGTTTCTTATTTTCAAACAGTCAGTAAGACTTTGGCCTAGTTACTGTAAAATAGTTCTTACTATTTAGCTTTGGGCATAAAGGCGCTAGTGTTGTATGTTTGTCAGGAAACATAGCACAATATTGTATGTGTGCGAAAATACCTAATATGAAGCAAGATTATTGGCTGTTTTTGTTAGGTCACTATTATTTACAACTAGTCCCTAAAACCCCCTTTTTTCCTACTAAATAAATCCTTATTAAAGAAGTCAATTTTGTAGAAATCTGCTTTCTCCTCCCATAGGGCAAAATCCTTGTCTACCCCAGCATTAGCTGGCCCCCACAAACAGACAAGAGGTTAGTCTACCCTTCTGTCATAATATTTCCCTTTTGTTCTGGTGACATTCTGGGCTAACCCCCCTCCCCAAAAAAAAACTTTGATTGGTCCAGGTGATGAAAGGAAAAGAACAGGACAGTCTGTGTCTAAGGTTGAGAAAGAAAGGCAGCAGATTTTGGAGGAGATGAAGAAAAGGACTCAGCTTCTGACCGACAACAGCTGGATACGTCAGCGCAGCAGCAGCTTTTACAAGGAACCCATCTATGTTGGGGTTCCCCTGAAGAGGTGGGTGTACAGTATTTGTACCATGTGGGACTGCTCATTATGCAGCTGTTTTGTTATGACATTAGCTCTCTTCTCTGCAGGGTTGAGTCTCTGGACAACCTGGACACTTTGCGTCAGTCCCCACTCTCGACCGCTACGTTCAGTTACCCTCGTCCACACTCTGCTGCAGGTTACTGTGCTCCGAGTCGGAATTCCTTCTCCCGCTACAGCACTGGAGCAATGTTATCCCAGAGAAATACATGCATGGACCCCTCTGAGCATGGCAGGTATGTAATTCAGGTCAATATAGAGCCAGTTTCCCGTGCATCTTGTGGTGTGTTTTTTTTTATTTATTTTTTTTATGTCTTCTCATACATTTTGGCCTCACACTGTTAACATGTGCTGCCCCAGGATGATCAGTGGCAGGAGGACTTGCTGTGTGTGTGAGCGTGTCCTGGGTAGTGGGGCATCCATGGTCATAGAGGCCCTTAGTCTCTGCTTCCACCTCGCCTGTTTCCAGGTGAGAGGTCATGACCAGGTTAAGGTGCGGTCACAGTAGCTCCAATCCCTGCGAATAATGTGGTTACTTAATACTGTGTCTCATTCACTTCTATCGAAGCGGTTCATGTTTTGGTGCGCCAGTCTCACAGGTCAGGGTTCACCTTTGTTGAACTTTGATCCGTGAGTTCACATGGTTTGCCAATAGAAACAGCGATGCATTCTATTGGAAATGAAAAGGTTATTATTATTTAAAAAAACACACCATCTCTCTCTCATTTAATTTTGTGCACACAAATGTGAAAATAAATCAAATATTGCCTTAACTGAGGTGGAAAAGATGGTGTATTGATTTAAAAACAACATGCAATGGAAACAGTAAATAAATTATGACGCGACTTATTTGTCATTCAAGCTTCTGCTGCACTAGAGAGAAAATAAATGACGGCAGATGAAAACATCAAAGTGTGGACATAAAATTAATAGTAAAGGCTGTCAAATTTGTTTATGGAACTAATTTAAAAATGACAGGTGTAGACCAAAGTGCGATTTTTAAATATAATTAAAATAAAAATAAAGTGTGTGTGTTTGTGT